ACAATGTCATTTTATTGGGGGGGGGGGGGTATTTTGACTGGATCAAATTATTTTGGGGGTCATAACCCCCCTAACCCCCCCGCAAATTACGCCTATGTGCATGAGTGGAAAAAGGGAGAATGATGAAATTAATTTGGTGTTGCAATTTTTAAAAAAAAGGCTGACCCCTCAGCCTTCCTGAATGAACAAATCCTCTAAAAACCTTTTTTTTTTTTAGAATAATCATATGAATCCATCATTTTAACACAAAGCTCAGGAAAAGAAGCAGTTTTTTTTTTAGGTTTTAGAACTCTTACAAAATGTAGATTTGGGTTGCAGCTACACTGACATGAAGAGCTCAAAATGACGCCACAGGTTGTTTGAAACGAGTCAGGAGATAAAAACGCCGCCTGGCTGACCCTGACTTGATCCTCATGTTTCAGATAACAGCTCGGTTAACCTTGACTCCGGCAGCAAGACAAAATAAACTGGGAAAACTTTCTGCTCCGGTTAATGTTTTAAACATTTATTTTTTAAAAAAATCCAGAGAATTGTTCACATTTTAGAGCTCTTTTCACGTCGGAACAAAATAAGTAAATAAAAGAAGTGAAGGTTGTGAAAAATGTGCTCACAGGATTGATCACTTCTTTTTTTTTTAATTAATCGGTTCTTTTACCTGGATATAGAGCTCGTTTCAACCCGAAGGGATAAACCTGCCCCAGTGTTTTCAGACATTTTTAATATGTAAAAAAAAAAAAGAAGGGAAAAAAATCCGCAGGTGGATTTAGAGCTGCAGGAGTTGGGGTCACCTTAAATTCTCGGGACGCCTCACTAAGCTGCAAATATTCATTTCTATAAAAGTAAAGCAGATCAATAATCACCTGAGCAGCTGAAACTCAACAGATCATTTGAAGATGCCTCGTTTTAAACCATTTCTGACCCTGTTTATGAAAAAAAAAACTGTTGTTCAAATTACTGTCCGCTGTGATCAGGGCGCAACCAGAATCCGAGTCAGAGGATTTTCCTCAAACGATTATGTGGGTCTTGACGCAGACTTCAGGCGTCCTTCTTGTCAGCACAAACACTGGAAGGCACATAATTTGTATTTTGGGTACCTGAAGAGTAAACAAAAGCTGACAGTGAAGAACCGCAGCTCTAAAACTGGGCTGTCTGAGCTGCGCGTTTCGGTGCTTTTAGAGGATAAAAAGCTGTAAAAGCCCCGCCAACAGGGGGAAATGATTGTTGGTGTTGTTTGATCAGGAACTTCAACTTAGATTGGCTATTTTTCCCACTCTTTCTGCGTCTCTCTTTGCCCCCTTTTTTAACGCTGTTGCTAGGGAGGGAGCAGGGCGTATGCGCTTGCCTGGCCGCGGATGAAGCGCGCAGGGAGGGAGGGAAAAAACTGAAATTGTGCGTAAATTAAAGACTTTAATCGAACGTGTTCGGAGCCAACACGACCTTAGAGGCCCGCGCAAACCGATTCCGGACTCAAAGTCGGGAATTAATGAGCGCAAAGGGGCGCATTTCTGCGCTTTTTCTCCATTACCTTATATGGCAGGGCAGAGACAGCTCGTGCCTGTGTTTAATAGGCTGGCCGCTGCCGCTCTGCTGAGAGGCTTCGCTTTAACCCTTCTGATGCTGAATTATTTTTGGAGCAAAGCAGAAAAACGTCGGCTTTTTTTTCTTTTTGTGGCTCGTTCGGTTCGGGTTCTGCACCACCTGAACGGAACCTTTCCTTTTTGACTTTACGCGTTGAAAGAAGACGTTTACGCACGGAGGCGCGTTTTTCGAGGGGGGCGCTCATGTTACCAATAAACTCCCCAGTAAATCTGTTTGTCCTCACATGGCTGACATTTACAGCACAGATAACGAGCTCACTGCTGATGTGGTTTTGAAGCAGCTGCTTTTAAAAACGTCCTAATGGAGGCGCGAAAGCAAAACGATGTTCTAAAAACCCCAAAATGGTCGGAGTTTGAGGAAAAGTTGCCGTATAGGTGAGCTGAGGGGCTGAGCTGGGAGGACAGGACACCGGATCCACCATCAGCCTGTGGGTGACCTACATCTGATCGAACTGAAACACGAGTTCTGCTGCCTTTACAGGCTCTAAAAGATGAAAAAATAAAGAGAATCCTTCATGATTCCTTCATTTTTCTGAAGCGTTTTTTGCGCAAAACTTATTTTCCTTTTAAGTTTCTTTGGCAGCTTATGAGGTGTTACTTGGAAACGTGTTTTTCTATTTATCACATGCATTTCTCTGTTTGGATATTATAGGAACAAAATGTTGCATCAAATGATGGAGAAAGGCTCAACTGAACCAAAAAAAAAAAAAAAACGCAATTTTGATCCAATTTCTTCCAATCTATAGTGATTTCATTTTGAACTGATTATAATATCCCACCCCCCTCCAGCAGTGGAGCCCGTTTTGGATAGGACCACTCTGTAAGGTCTTCACCTCCTTTTACTCCCCCCTTTCCTGACGTCACGCACAAGAGAGAGAGAGAGAGAGAGAGAGAGAGAGAGACGGATTTGGATACAACTGGATAGCGAGCGCGCACGGAGCAAAGAGAGAGAGAGAGAGAGTGCACATCAGCGGTGCATGACCAGCGCTTCACCCCCTCCTCCTCACCCTCTCACCCTGCGAGCGCGATCGGACCGAGCCGAGAATGGAGCTCCCTGCCGCCGGAGAGCACGTCTTTGCGGTGGAGGGCATCGAGAAGAAGCGCATTCGGAAGGTAGGTAGGGGGTGGGGGGGCACAGGAGCATGCAGCCGGGGGTGGGGGGAGTGTGCAAGCGAGTGGAGGTGGGGGGGCCTCGCGTCCTGCACGGACAGAGCAGAAGTGTTAGACGAGCTTTCACCATTTTGTTTTCTTCCTCATCATCATCGTCATCATCCTCTTCCTCTCTACCTTCGCAGGGCAAGATCGAGTACCTGGTGAAGTGGCGCGGCTGGTCCCCCAAGTAAGCTTTTACTGAAAACATGATTCTGACCTGGGGTGTTTATGGAGAAAAGAGGGGGGTCGCGCGCGGATCTGTGGGTGTTTAGAGCGCGTTCTGTTCGGTGTGTGCGTTTCAGTGGATGCCTTCACTAATTTATGCGAGGGAAGGAGGCGGAGGGCGGTGGTGCTGTGTGTGTGTGTGTGTGTGTGTGTGTGTGTGTGTGTGTGTGTGTGTGTGTGTGTGTGTG